TTCTCCTTCCCCAGATCTTCTAAATCATGACCAGATCTTATTCTTGCTTCTTCTTGACTCCAGTTCTTAATCCTTAGTCGACGGCCAATCGCAGCAAAGCTTCTAGATTTGATGAAGATGAGCCTTTTCTTGAAACATTTGACGTTCCATTAGAATGATAAGCTTTCTGCTGAAGACAATGCCGATGAGACAGAGCTCGAGCTTGGGAAAGAGATGAATCCACTCCATTCTATTTTGTTTCTGATTTTATTTTTAGGGGTTTAGGTTCTAGTAAATTTGATGCATATTGCTGTAATTTTTTTGGGATTGACTTTCAGATTCTGGTTAATTCGCTGTATACTGATGTAATATTTTGTTGTAAATATGTTGGATACGAAGATGATGATACAAACTTGAAGAGTAGATGAACATGAGGCCAGTCTATTCGCGTTTCAGATGGGACGGCAGGACATCATGGGTTGGGTGGGGAAATAATTAGGAGGGGTAAAATGGGAAAGTCAAAGTAATTTTTACTCTACATTAGAACTCCTGCCAAGTCAAAACGATATGTTTCAACTTGGATGGAGGGAGTAAATTACAGCAATATGCATCATAGAATTGAGTCAAAACGATATGTTTCAAAAGAAACTACTAAGGGTCCGTTTGGTATGCAGAATTGGTGGAATTGGAATTGAATTGGAATTGGGATTCCATGAGATTCAATTCCATAGAATTGAATTTACCAATTTCAATTCATTTTTTGCACTATCAATTCCAAATCCACATAATATTTATGCTACCAAACACCAGAATTGGAATTGAAGTCCTCAATTCCAATTCCATAATTTGAATTCCTTGTACCAAACGGGGCCTAAGGGTTTACCAACTGTGTAGATTTGGAATTGCCATTTACCGAGCTAAACATCGTACTCCTTCCATCGAACTATTTTATGTCCATCTTTTTTGTCCGTCCAAGTATTTTTGTCTCTTACAATAATTGGTCATATTTTTGCAGTTTGCATTCCTTCTTAAATTTTCTTTATTATGTTTTTATTGAAGAGTACTTTTAAAATCAATACCAACCACACAATCTTCTCCTAAATCGTGTGTCACTTCCTCCCAAAAATAGTGGCAAGATGAGTAACTAACAATTCTTAGCAGGTTCCTTTCATAAAAGTAAATCTGTTAATGTCAAAGCTAAACATCTTATTATGCAAACCTTCAGGGAAGAGCACAATTAAATCTCAAACCGTAGAAACTCAGATCATTTCTAAGGTACTAAATTAAGGATTTGTAAGCCAAATGTGCGACCATCCCTCATCATATGTTGAGGTAAGGTGTGTGCACATCCTATCCTCCCCGAACCCTATTGTGGGAATACCCTGGGTTTGTTGTTGTAACAAGCATATATATAAACATTAAGCATCGATTCAGTATATAATAGATCTAAAATAAGAATACTTTATGTTCAAAAATTATAATATTTCTAGGTACTCCATGTATCCCAATTTATTTTGCCCATTTCAGTTTACATAGGTATCCAGTGCATTACTTTTAACCGTTGGTAACTGTATTCATAGATAATTAAGCAATTCAAAACTTTGATAATTCAAAACCATAATTCAAAACAAACATATTGATATTAAATTCACATTATAAATAAATGCTAAATGTACTTTATATGCATAATTAGGTCAAATTTTGTGAACTTCATAAAAAATGTTTCGAGGAAATACCTGGAGAACCTCCTCTGCCAGATAATGGGTGAGCTCGTTTTTGCCCAGAGACAGGCGGCATCTGTTGACCAGAGTTATGCCCTCCACCGCCGTTCTCCCCTAAGTAGCCGCCGCCCATCGGAAGAAACCCTCCAGCGCCGGGCCCACCCGGACCTGGATGAAAACGGGGGATGTCAAATGCGAGGTCTCCGCGGTCCAAACCGCTGTAACTATTAGGGTTTCGGAACTGGTAGGGGTCAATTGGATTGACGGAGGAAGGGCGCGTCGATTGTGGCCCGCCCATGAAAGGTCTAAACTTGTGCTGTGGATCCATATGGTCGCCGTAAATCTCTCCCCTGTGCCGCTCCATCGACGCCGAAAAGACTGGAAAGACGGGTTGAGCAGATGAACGCAGAACAACTATGGGAGAAAAGAGGCGAGTCCCCGGTAAAGTCACTTCGCTGGGAGCTGCGTACAATTATACTCGGTATGTGACAAAGGGCAATAGGCAAGGTAGTTAAGGACATGTTTGGGAAAACTTTTTTGGTTTATACAATCTCAAAAAATTGAGATCACCATTTATAATATTTTATTTTCAATTTTACTTAGAACACCTCTATTAGTGTTAGAGCAACTTCAATGGTGGAAGGTATCTTGGAGAGGTATATATTTCATTTACATTTCAAAGTAATCAAGTTTATCTTCCCAAAAATGTGCAACTCTAGTGGGGAAGCTAAATCAAAAGGCAAAAGAGGGAAAAAAATCCATCTGCATACATTAATGGGAAAAAATTAGTTGATTTATCTTCTTAAATCAAATTCCAATTATTAGAAATAAAAATATAACAAGTCATTGGGGAGGTAAATTTGAGGTTTGTTACCTTTGTTTCTTCTTGATTAATTTTTTTAACTTAAATATTTTATAAAAATCCAACTAATTTATTGGAAAAATATTAGAATGTCAGTTGTCAAATAATTAAATATACATTATGTCCAATTGCACATGAAAAATTATAAATACTCAAATAGAAAAAACTTAAAAATACAGAGTACAAAAATAAAAAACAAAGTTCCTCTTTTTGTTAATTCTTGACTCGTTAAATTTTATAATTACAAAGATACAAATTAAAAATTTATAATAATACATTCAAGCAAAAATACAAAAAATATACAATAACTAAAGTAATTGACAGAAATTTAAAAGGTGTAAAAAGTTAATATACCTCCCAAAAAGAAGAAGGTAAATATACCTTTTCAGAATTGAAGAATGTATTATGCATTCTTATTTACCTCCCCCATTGCAGAATGATTTTTAATAAAAAACGGTATATATCACAATTATTACTTGGAGTTGCTCTTATATACCCCTTCCCTTGGAGTTGCTCATATGCTCCTGTAGAGAGTCGTGTTCTGGCAGTTGAGTCAATTTTAAGGGAAAGGGCTACTTTATCGGAGCAGCTTTGACGACATGTGACAGCAGTGCATGAAGTTCATGGTTCATCTTCATCGTCGTGAGCTCTCTTTCAAAGTGGGTGACTTGATGTTGCTCCACTTACTGCCGTATCGCTGACATTTTGTGTCTCGTCGGCATTACACCAAGCTTACCAGATGATATTATGGTCCGTTTAAAGTTGAAGCCAAGGTTGGGCTGGTTGCTTATTGTTGCTTATTGTCTGAAGTTGCCAACTACGTCTCACATCCATCACATTTTTCATGTTTCTCTCTTAAGGTTGTTTCGGGGGACTCGGAGATCTAATCTGTTGCCGATTCGAATGACTTTTTTGTTGTCAAACCGTTTCTCATCCAGTTCACTTTCAATAGCACTCGACAATATTTTAGAATGATACTATATGGTTGAGTAGGTGCTAGTTGAGTGGTTAGACGATAAACTGGACGATGCAACGTGAAAGCCATTGTTATTGAACCAGAGAGGGATGATACAATTAGGGGGCGGGGGAGCAACATGCGAAGGCTACAACTGAGGAGGAATGTAACGGCGATCCAAGTCCGAGAAGAAGTGAAAGGGCGCTCAAGTATCTGGCTTGGCACAAAGATTATAATCTTTCTTAATGTTCATTTATTGTATTTTAGATTTTATTAAGTGAGCTGTTTATAAGCACATTCGAGAGTTTCTTTACGATTCTTTACCTCATCGCTTTTCTTAAACAATAAGAATAGATAACCTAGTTTGATGAGAAATGAAATTAGGGCTTGACTATCAAGAGTTGTGTCCTCTCTGTTCGATCATGACGAAAATAAACCAAAATTTCTTTTTTTTTTTCTTTTCTTCGAGTTCAGTAACACTCGAAGTTCATCTCTACTTATTACGTTTCACGTATAATTCTTTTATGCTATGTGTTACAAAAAATAGATTTTTATCTCGTATCTTGCAAGAAAGTAGAATGAATTGGAAGAAACTAGAAAAGTGAGAAAAAACAATATGATGTTGAAAGAAACACTAAGGGTCCATTTGTTGAGCATAAAAATAGGAGTTTTCAAATCTTCCTACATCAAATTTATTTATTTTTGTGTTTGGTGATAATTAAAAGGGAATGAATTCAATATCTCAAACTATCATAAATATTCAAAATGGAGGATTTTGATATCCTCATATTTGGGATATATCAATGTGGGGATTTGATATCTCACTCAACCGTCGACCATCCCTAGCCACCTGCTATTATTGCCACCACCAACCACCTCCGTTGCCGGTGATCCTAGCAATCACTAATTAAATCATAATTTAAATCTCTCCAAATAAATTTATTTAAAATTTCGAAACCCATATAATTTGTTAAGTTTCAAAATCCATATCATATCATATATTCAAAACTCGCCAAATAGACCTTCAATAAATTGAAAAAAATTGAAGTGGTTAGAAAATATGTAACGAGTTGGAACCATTATTACGGAGTATATCGTTTACTATAATATTTGACACTCATATATGTCTCTAAGATGTTGGCATGTGTCATCTTATATGGCATGCTTTAAATTCTCATTTATCATTTATAAAAAATATTTATGATAACCTTTAAAATTTGACGAGTTTAAAAGAATGTATTTTATATAAAACAATCATGGTTTTTTGAGCTTATTGAAAATTATGTAAACGAAATAAAAAATATAAATATTTAACAAAAATTAAATGAATTGTTCATAAAAAAAGAATTAATCATGATTAACTCAGTCTTCTTTTTCATAAAAATGACAATGATATTAAAAATGATTTGAGTAAAATATATTTTTTTAAATATTACTAATCCATTCTTTTGTATGGAAATTTATTGAGCTAAAATATAGCTCGTCTTATATCACCTAATTAAAGTTGAAAAGTTTAACAAAGAAAAATAGGTCTTTATGGGTCTTAATAATATATTTGATAATTTCTAATAAGAAAAATTTTATGGTTTAATGTATTTCAAGACTTTTTAATAATTATGATTTCCTTAAAATCAAAATATTATAGGGAATATTAAAAAAATCAATCAAGATTTAAATTTTATTATGAAATATTAATTATATATAATTCACATCAGGATACCGATAGTCTTTAATAGTTTATTTATGAAATAAGGAGTGTTTGTAAAGGATAAAACCTTTGTTTTTAAATGAAAATATCTATAAAAGGGTAATACAAATTTTAAAACAATTATTTTCATTATCTTTATTAATATCCAAGACCTTTGTTTTCTTTTATTGAAACATAATTTTTCATAGAGAAAAAATATTATAAAAACTTAAGAATTAAAAAATTATAATCTTGATATTCATATATTCATAATCTAAAGTAACAAATGACACATATATTTTTGAATAAAATATATTAAAATAGTTTTAGTGCTGCATGTGGTTTAAAAAATAGGTATAAGTACATCATTTGTTTTCAAAATTTATTTAAAAAATGTATGTCATTTCAAAATTTGGACACGCACCACCATGGTTTGTATTATTTTCCATTCACTGCTGTATTAAAAAGGAGGGACATTGATGGCTATTTTCCAATCTACATGGACATTAGTGCCTATTATCATTCTTAAACTTTATTTTCTTCATTTCGAACATGAATAATTTTGAAATTTTATAATACAATAAGGCATAATTATGAAAAACAAATTTTTAAAAGAATTCTTGAAATTAAACAAAGAGAAGAAAAAGTAGAAACAAAAAGCAAAAAAAAAAATGAATAAAATTTAATCTTATAAATAGTGTACAAACCAATTAATTTAGGGAAAAGATAGTACTCCGTACAATATAGTACTCTCTCCGTTCCGGAGTATTCGTCCAATTTTGACTTTTGGAACTGTTAATCTAAGCACTTTGACTCATTAAATTCTCTCAATGTATAAGCCTAAATATAGTCATGTGTGATCTTGTTTGATTTGTCTTAACATATAAATTATTAATATATAATTTCTATAATTTTTTAATATACAAATTACAAGATAAAATGAATTAAAGAAGTGTATTGAATGATGTATAAAAATGAAAGTGGACAAATGCTCTGGGACGGAGGTAGTATTTGTTTATAGATTCTCAACTTGTTAATCTTAAACATTGATAATAGGCAACTCAGAAAATTACTCGCGGGTGACGCGGGTTTTGTCAAAATAACTTTCAGGTCCTTCTATTTTCAAAAAAACAACCGAGATCCTTATATTTTGTTGTAATGACTGGAAGGAGACATTTCATACAATACATCATTCGTAAGTGTTGATAAATGTATTTTTTTTCTTATTTTTCCCATACCATTTTTTCCTATTTTGCCATTACCTTGTTTTTTCTTTTTTTAAAATTTTTAAATTTCATTTGTTTTAGTATAATACAAACAATTTTGAATTTTTATACGATTTTATAGAAGAAATTCTAAAATAACACTTTAAAAAATAGTAACAAAATGAAAGAAAAACAAAGAAATAAAAAAAGGAAAAAAATACATTTATTACCTTAAAACATTTAGAAAAAGAATAGAAAAAAAAATACATTTATTAACATTTATAGATGAAATATGAGATGAAATGTCCCCTTCCAGTCATTACAACAAAATGTAAGGACCTCTGCTGTCTTCTTAAAAATGGAGGGACCTGAGAGTTATTTAACAAAACTCGCGTCACCTGTGAGTAATTTTTTCTAAGCAACTCCATATGTTTTTGCAAACTGGGCATTGTAATTAAACCTTTCTAAAAGTACACTCTCGGCTCCAGAATTTTTATTATATCCATAGTAGTCATAGGAGTCGAGCAACGTGAATCCAATTTTTTTTAGTTTTATTGACTCTATTATAACGTAGTATCTATTTAGACACTTTCTCAACCTACTAAAACGCACAGAGTCAAAACCCGGGATTCGAATTTGTGAAAATGTGAAATTGAACAAGGATAGCAAGACTTCTGTTTATGCACATGAAGAACACAGATCTAGTAGAAAACCTCTGGTTTTAAGAAAAGGTATGGTGACAAGTTTAAAAGCCCATCACATTCTATCTCGTCATAACAAAATTTGGTCATCCTACCTTTAT